ATGAGCTGGAGAGACTCTGGTGTATACTCTTTCTTTTTACTTTTATCAGCTTTTCAGCCTATACTATTAATACTAATACGAAGTCAGTAATAAGTAGCTGTATAAATTACATTTAGTATCATCATCAACTTTGTCTGTCTAATAATGAAGTAACTTCGGCTTGTCATCTCTTTGAAACAATGGCATATTCAAATGGAAAAACAAAGACAAACTTTTTCGCCATATCTCATTAATAAAGTAAAATAAAAGGCATTTATTGTGGAAACTTTAAACAAGAAAAAATTTGTTACAGAAATCTAACGTAAGATAATCTTATTAACAGAAAATTACGACAGGAAAAAGAAAATACAAATTGTCTTGTCTGCTCGTTCACAATGAAAGTGGTAAAGAAAGAGAAAACAAAGGCTCGATACATAAAAATCTTCGTTTGATTCAAAAAATAAAAAATATAATGATACAGGATACAATGTGAGTTAATAAAATTCGCCCATACCTATACCGGATTGCTTTTCAACAATACACAAATCAGCCGAACCGGTAAGCGATAGAGCGCGTGATACACACTCTTGTCAACTGATCATGAACCAACAACTCTAAGACTGATGGGGTAACCGTAGTTCTTCAGAATGATCAGTCAGCGCATCACCTTCTATGCCGACAAGTCACGACAGGTGCCCTCCGTGAGAATAACCGCAGTTTTTGACCAGCCCTGACCTGACCTGACGTATAGGGTAAAGTAATCTTGCTTCTTGAAACAAAATACTATTGGTAAGCGGTCTGAAAAATCATTATTCTGTTAAAAGAACATTTAAATACCTACAAGACATTACAAGAAAACTTGCCGTGGATGTTGAAGGCGCTCACAGTATAACTCTTGACAACTAAGCGTGAGCCACAACTTCAAGAGCTGAGGGTTAACCAGTAGTTCCTCTGAACGCTCAGTAGTTATACTGTCTTCCGTGAGAGAATCTACTGCAAACAGGCCTTCTGACGAAGAATAACCGCAGTTTTTGCCCATCTGTGCCAGACCACATCTCACAGGATACGACGTGTTGAGGATAAGAAAAATTTTTGTTAAACAGGAAGTCAGGGAACCGTTATATCACTTGTCACGTGCAAGTACATATAACCAATCATATGCGATGATCACTAAATAAAACGCGAATCTAAACGCGAATCTAAACGCGAATCTAAACGCGAACCTTTACTCATATATCTCAATGGATTCAAAGAAGGATTCGATTTCCAAAAAAGAATACGACTTTTTTATTAATGAAGAAAGGCCGACACCAACGGAATTTTTCAAAAAGTTCAATTACACGTCGAGGAAAACAGCTGTGTTCCTCTCTCAAGAAGATCCTCACAATTCGTGAAGATGATCTCAAGCTTGTTAATATCGAGCAAAACTATAACGATGATAAATACAAGCAAGCTATTGAAGATTATTTTAAAACAAGCGTTCTTGAAAAGGAAAAGGTTTGTCAAATGTGTTTGTGGTGTATCGTGTCCAAGGTTTGTGTTACCTAAATTCTTTCACAATTACCAGACGGATGTTGATAATACATTAACAAAAAAAACAAGTATAGCAATCCAAAGGCGCATAAGTGATCTCCTTCCGGAGGAAACCGGTGATCAAGTTTGCTCGAAAAAACCTCGTCTCGTGGAGGAGTCGCAACAGAATAAGAATGACAATTCAATATTAATGTCAGCAGATTCGAAAATAAATCAAGGGAGTCATAGTAAAATTTTACCGCTCTCTTCAAACGATTTTCCAGCTTTGTTTTCGTCATCAGCTGATCCCTCTTATCGTGAAGAAGAACAACATTTCAATGCTAAGAAAGGTATTGTCATTTTTCGGATGCAATAAGATCAAGCACATTAATGTACTGATCACAATCTGTTTAAAACGGTACCGAATTGGGTACTCAGGGAAGAATATTGTTGATAAGTATAGATTTCAGGAATACCTCTAGAAATGACGTGAGTACCTCATTGCATTCACAAGACATAATTATGCTATACTTACGTGTGATTGTACTTTTCAGTGGGTCTTTGAAGGATATAATCTCTCCCTAGAATTCAGAAGTTTTCAGGAATCGACAATTACACAAGTCAAAAAAAATCCATTTCTATGCTATCAAAATGATGTACAGAAAATCCTGTAAGTTATACGTCGTCATCCAAATCATATATTTATGGCTATGTTTACGTTGTATTTATTTTATGATAAAATAGATGTCTATCGAACATAATGATAATTGAACGGACAAAACCTTCATACATTGCTTGTACTCAGGAGATTTGGGACCAAATCTGCCAAAAAAGTTTACCCCAGAGGTTGCCATCTGTGGTGTATGATGTGGTTTTTCACTATTCTTCAGTAATATTACTCTTCTATGTTCAGATTTAGTGTTAAATTTCATGGAAGTGGCACTAAGTATTTCTCTTTACTTTAGATGTTAAACCCCTTTACACCACTCTCTGTTATCCAAGATGAATAGGGCAATAATTTCTCAAAAACAGCTAAATTAAACAACCAGGAGAAAAATAAATTTTTTGAAATACAAATAATTATGCGAAACTTGTAAGTGTCATAGCCATTACAAATTACTTATACTGTAGTTAATGTAATATTGAATGGAATGTCTTCTTTAGTTTGTTATTAAGTTCGAAAAGCGCGAGTATTAACAATGAAGATACTTTCGTGCACGAAACTTTACACGATTTACTTAATGAGGTTTTTCGGGATACCAAATTTGAGTTAGTTTGGTAAGAGTTTTAAGTTTGTGAGATTTCTACATGAATAATTGAATTAGCAATTAAATGACTTCGAATTTAAAAGGGCGAACAGTGAAAGCAATGCTTCGAAAAGTCGGCGTAATAGCAACAAAGAAAATTACAGAGGTAAAAAACCAGACTTTAAACTTGTAATGAATACAAAGGATGAAATTCTTTTCGGCAAAGTCAAGCCACCAAAAAGTAAGAATTTATCTTTGCTTAAAAAAGATCTTGTCAAACTCGCAAACTTCCAAGCCGGTTTTCTGGATGAACTGATCAAGAAATACGGAAACGGAATTGGGTTGGTCTCTTTCGGGATATGGGTTTGTGGTAAGTGCGTAGGTTCGGTTCAACTTTTATATGTTTTATTGATTAATACCTGATCATATTCATAAGGTGCGAACATTTACATTTATGAAATGACCTAAATTACGACGGAATTTATAAAATGTCACTGGTTTCAAACGTAATTGCTCCTACTAATCAAGCCCAATTCGTTAACCTGATACCACTCCTAGAGGCCTTTTATAATATCAAAGTAATCTTCAAGTATATACTAGTTTATTGCTTTCAATACAAACGTGATCAAATACCTCTAACACACTATTTTTATGATCCGAAGGATCGTGTTTCTAACGTTTCAGAAACAATTACTCACAGCAACATACCTGACTTCACATCACGTTCAACTTATGGCAGGAATCTTGCCGCCTCTCCGGAACCTGTTAATATTGCCATCGTTGGTACACAGCCTAGCTCCTTAGAGAAGATGTGAAAATTATTTGCTGAAACATCCTTGAAAAAAGAATTTTTCATTCACCATTTCTGCTATGTGCAATTTGTTTAGCTTTAAGACGTTTGTGCCTGCACAATATGGACACCAACTATTACTATGTTTTATGCTTGCAAGTCTAACACTCCATTCATGTCCTTTAACACATTTCCATAATAAAGGTAAACGAGTATTTAAGAAAGACACTCACCATTTCTGCTACTATGTGCAATTTGTTTAGCTTCTTCAAGAGTAAGACGTCTATTATGTGCACAATCTGGACACCAACTATTATAATGTTTTATATGAGCAAGAGAGGTAGACCATTTATGACCCATAGCACATTGCCAAGAAAGTGGTGTATAACTATTTATATATTTTTCGGAGAGACACTTACCATTTCTATTATGTGCAATTTGTTTGGCCTCTTCAATCGAACAACGGCGATTGGAAGCACACTGCGGACACCATTTTTTAGCATGTTTAATCCTGTGAAAGGGAGCCGGCCATTGATGTCCTTGATGGCATTTCCATATCATTGGAGTAGTGGAATTATTATATACAGTTGAAAGACATATTCCATTACGAGATTTGGCAATATCACAAGCATCATTTAAAGACAATTTTACCATCGTGATAAAGATTTTAATAGTTCTTATATTCTATTTTTCTAAGTTTAAAACATTGTCCCACCCCTTGCGAAGATAAAGAGGGTCTTCTTTGCTCTAGTTAAATCGATAACAATAAAATCTCTACCTTGCAAATTTTTATCAAGTATATCGACAACATCGCACCATTTTTTTGTATATCGTCGGGCAATATTCACTAGCTCATCATATGTACCTGCGCCATTAAAGAGTACGATATAATCCGGATTTTTTCTTATTAGTTTTGGACAGTCGAAAAAGCTTTGTGTTATGTATATTGAACTGATATTAGCATGTCGCCCTTCACTAAAATACGGAGCAATTCTATTTTGTATTTTTT